GGGCTCCCACAGGACCTACAGAACATCCCACAGCAGGTAACTCCAGGTTAATCCCCTAATAGAGGGATAGGAAAGATAATATGACCAGGGGTGGTATTATATATTATATTATATTGGCTACTCTCTAAGTCCGGTGAGGAGACCACTTCCACTAGCAAAGATGACTCACTAGAATTTATGGGCTCAGAGTTCTATCTTTATCAGAGTTGTCTCATACATCTTCAGTCCAACTTACAGGATCTTGTTCTTTTTCAACCAATGCCTTCATTTCAACGTGGCATATCCTATAGGCCTGAAAGTTCAGCATGTGTGGAAAGTCATCCAGAGTGATCTTCAGCAGTCTTAGTCCTGAAGATACAGTAACAAAAGGTCTCCCTCAGGGCACACATTTTCATGACACTTCAGTTGGAAACTCAAGTCCTTGAGTTCAAGTTCAAGTTTTTCTTTCTGAACTTTGTCCAGTGACATTAGGAGCAAAAGGCTAATTTTCTTTTACTCATTGGTTTTCCAAAGCTGTCCTGCTGCTTTATACACATTAGCCAAGCCCTTCATTCCGATAAGTGGTAAATGGCTGATGAAGAGTATCCAGTGCAGAAATGTTATGCATCTTCTTTGCAAAGTTACACATAGACGACTGATACTCTCTTCATTACTACAAACAGAATCATTAGCACCTGAAATTTCACTTTATATTTCAGAGCCAGTTCCATAAACCCTAGGACCAATTCATAAAACTCACCATCAATATTTTGTTTATCTAGAACCAACCTCAATACCAAAGTCTGTTAGTTACAGTTCTCCAAAGGATGAGAATAGAATGGAGATGACAGATAGATAGACAGGCAGACAGACAGATAGATAATAAACATCTATTTCTATATAATATAAAGAGGTTTATTATAAAGTAACACAATGAGTGCTTAGAAACTGATTTTCTGGGGATCCCCAAGAAGGAAAATAAGAGGGTACAGGGGGATGTGCATAAAAATGATGACATATATATCACAATGGATCTCATTTCTTTGAGAAAAAGAGAAGCTGGCCTTGCTAAAGAGCACTAGCTCCTTACTTAAACCCCTCTGAAAACTACAAATGGGATGAAAGCCAGGCATCTCTGCCTTCATTTTATGTCTGTCTCCTTTACTTTGGGTAAGATTCCTGCTTGAATCTGTATAGACATACTAAGGTCACTCAATCCATCAATATATTTGCCTGTCTGTGTGTCTGTCTGTCTGTATGTCTTATTCCCCTTCAAGGAGAAAAGCACAGAGAAAAGTCATTGCCCTAAATCTGTAGTCACCTTGGATTGAAGAGCTATCAAAGCCTTGCAGGACATAACTCCTTCCAAGTGAGGGCAATTATATATGGTGTAAGACTGCATCCTGGAGCATAAGTAATTATCTCATGGGAACCGCATTGCTCCTTTCAAGCAATGACAAATGACAGGGATAGCAAGATAGCTTCTTTGGACTATCTTGAAGAGCCAGAATCGAGATAATGATCAACCAGACCAAACATATACTGAGAGGCTAGAGGCATAGCTCA